ATAATAATGTTCAATTATTGGGGGAAGTGGAGGCCTAGTGGTTAGGGCATAGAGCTTGGATCCCAGAGGTTCTGAGTTTAAGCCCCACCCCCACAGACTGCCACTCTGGGTCCCTGAGCAAGGCCCTTAACCCCACACTGCTCTCCAGACGCCGCACAATGGCAGCCCACTGCTCCCCAAGGGGATGGGTTAAATTCAGAGGTTATTTTGTTGCTCTGTACTTGTGACAGTGTAATGACAGTACACTGTCACAAGTTTAAAAGTTTGTTAAAAGTTTAAAAGTGTAAATTTTAAAGGAAAAGAAGGAATGTAGAGAAATGAGAAGACGAGCGATAAATTCTCCACCTCTAAGATCGAACCCAGAGGAGTTAAAAATAGGACTGTTTCCCCCAAAACAAACTGGATCCGATTTGGCATAAGGTCATATGATGTTGCTTCCAATCGGAATGGTCAGAATGAGTCAGAGACATGGTTGGTAAACATCCTCTTTGGGGGAAACACATTGGCCAAAATGCAATGTAAACATGAAGCAAGTTTTGATCACTGGAGTGAAACTGATCTCGTTTTAGCTTGTTAGAGCAGTTTCATGTTTACTCACAGAACAGTGTTTATTAAAGCGGCTGTTATCTCGGGATTTCCAGAACATACTCTCATCGAATACCTGATCTCACATATTTGGTGGCCTTTAGACAAAGCTTCTACTCAGACCAGATGTTTTTTGAAGAAATTGAAAGTGTGTAGAGACGTATGGCCTGCTGACTAGGGGTGGGTATTGCCAAAGAAGTCACGATTCGATCCGAATCACAATTCACATGCCACGATGCGATTCTATCACGATGCATCGCAATACTTGAAATATGGCGATGAATTGCGATATTTTCACTGAACACTGTAAGAAAGAAATACAGCTATTACCAGTGGCTGACTGGCTGTGTGTGATCTGGGTACAGTAGTGTCTTCAATTGATACATAACTGAAAGCAACTGAATTCATAATTAGCTTCATTTATTTAAACGACTATCGAAGGATCGTCATGATGATTATTTTGCACACCCCTACTGCAGACACCCTCCAGCAGTGTGTTTTCGGTGGTTAGCCTCTTTATTTTGAACGGTTACTTTACCAAAAACACCATAAATACAAACGCTGGACTGGGTAAGATTATGCACCATGTCATTACACCGCCAATGAGGCTGGATGTGTTCGTGTTTGTTAACACCAAATAACAGGGAATGTTGCAGCTTAAATTCAGACCTGTGGAGCATTTCTTTTTTTTTTTTTTTTTTTAGTTTCTGAGTTTCTAAATCAGCTGCAGCCTCTGGTATCTTTGCTGGTATCAACCATCTTTTTCAAAGTATTCACATACTGATGATCAGACATGCTGTGATGCATAACTTGGTTCTAAAAAGTGTACATTTAAGTTGCTGTTCTCTTTGCTTTGTTTTTTGGGGGTTTTTTTTGTTTTGTTTTTTACAGTGGGTTGACAGGAAAGGGGTTATGAGGGAAGGGGAGGGGAGAAACATTCGGCAAAGCACCACAGGTCAGATTCGAACCCACGCCAGCCACGTCGAGGATTAAGGCCTTCGTACATTGGTTTATGTGCTAACCACTGCTGCACCGAAACACGCCCCTAAGTTGCTATTCTATCAGCTAAAAACTTCCAAACTATGTGTGGAAATCCCAGCAGCTAAGCACTATTTCATTCTAATCATCTCCAGTCACTTAGATCTAATTTTTCCTTATTTTGAAGCACAAAGAGACCCTCAAATGCACAGAGTTGCTGCTGTTTTATTGGTTAAGTTATCTGTGAACCTGCAACTGGAAATGTGAATTTATTAAAGCAACCTGGTGAGTGTAGAACAAGCCTTAAAGGAACTTGGAACATTAACAGTATGTATATCAGTAACTCCTGGCTTTTATAATAGCCTCCTAACTGAAGCCGTATCCAGTTCATGTCTACATAACTCACCTCTTTCACACCACCAGTCCTTATCTGAGCGGGGTCATACCACCCAGCGTTTTAGATCCATAGCATCTGATCTACTTAAGAGGCCTCACGCCACGTTCGGGTCCGTGTTAAAGCATGTGTGATGGGGTCATGTCCGGGGCTTTGGAACAGGGGTGGGTGTGAAGGAAAAGCTGATTAGATGTGCTGCAAAACACTTAGCTCCAGCACCGTCTGTGTGTGGCCCTGTGACCCGGCTGGTCCGAATCTAGGCGCCTAATCACCTTAAAGCTGATCTGCGTGTGTGTTTGCATCATAGGAGTCTGTTCATGACCTTTGATCAAAACAGGGTGGCAAGAAAAGAGGTCTTTGGGTATTTGACTTTGTTCTTGGAAGAATTTAATTCATTAAATTTCATATCATTAATCTGCATGACTGCAGATAAAAAAAAACACCCTGTGTTTGTTTTTTTGTTACTTATATTTTATTGAACTTTTAAAAAAGAACATTTAAAATGTAACTTACAGTGTCCATTTCTTCCATTTCTTTTCCAATTGTGGTTCTTGTAGCCTTAAGGAAGTATGTTTGCTTTTCCATTAGGAATATATCTTTTATTGTTGTTACCCATTGCTATTTTGATGGTGAAATACACTTCTCCCAGTTCCTTGTGATTTTTTTTTTATCAACAATATTTAATAATTTACTAAATATTCATCAGATTTATCAATAATACCATCGCAAAAATTATACAAATCCAGAAGTTTAGGCTTTAACTGCGATTGCTTTTTTAAAGAGTTTTGAGCTTACATCGATATCAATACCGCAGATATATTAGCATAGACAGACAGAGAGACAGACAGACACCGTAATTTTCGGACTATTAGCCACACCTGAATATAAGCCGCAGAAGCTAATTTGCATGATTTGTACATATACAAGCTGCATCGGACTATAAGCCGCAGGTTTTTTTATGTTTAATGTCCGTCTTTCTCGCTGTCGTTCTGTCTCGTACCACTCGCGGTAGAAGTCTGCTTCCAGAGGACCTCCGCATTCCCCCCAAGCGTGTACCGTACTTGTGTGTTGAAGCAAATGTGACGTCAACATGGTGGATGGTAAAATCGATAGATTTAGGTATTACGCTAGTGGTCGTTAGTTGTAAAAGTCCATAGATAAGCCACATTGTTATAAAAGCAGCAAGGTTGAAAAATGGGGGAAAAGTTGTAGTCCGAAAATTACGGACGGACCGGCCGGTCGGTCGGTCGGTCGGTCGGTAGATAGACAGATGTTTGGATGAGAGCATGATGATTGTGATATGATTTTTATTAATCTGCGATCAATATAAAACATTATTTACATTGATAAACTTTTAAATACAACTGACTTAATTTTATTTATTTTTTAAGCTCTTAAATCAGGGATTTAAATCATAAGCAACATTCTTCAAATCATAAAAAAAAAAAATGTAATTGGGTTTTTTCAATTTAATCCCAATATCAGACAGACAAAGACCAACAAGCCGAAAATAACCAACAAACATTAATATCGCCCCACTCTCACTGATGGGTTTCACATTATAAATCAATAAATGATTAAGATTTATACTGATGTTAACGTTTAATTGATTTAAAAAAAAAAAAAATCTAATCGAAAGTACAAACTAAATGAAACTTGCTCAGGCATTTACCGTAACAAAGACACTATTGGGAAATTTATACATTACAGATAAAAACGGGTCACAAAGAGTTCATTAAAGATCCTTGGAATAACCTAATTAGAGCAGTGGCCTTTTATTAAAAAGCACCGCTGCTTTAATGCTTTAAGGCGTTCTGAATTAACAGGATCTAATGATTTCCCCAGCCGCACTGTGAAACACGCTCTACGAGCTGCAAATGTTGCACTACGGCATCCTGACTCAAGAGTAAGGTGATTACAGTTGGGGCTTTAGTGTCAATAGCCTGAGCCTGTGGATAATCCGCAGCTGCTGACCCGAGCTGCTCACCCTTTAATCATCTCAGCGTAGCCCCGTGTTAACGATCTAATCTGTAAGCAGCCGACACTAACGAACTAAAGCAGATTGTTCAGCCCTGTGATGTGCTATGCTGACACGACGAGGCGCTTTCAAAACAAACAGAACTCCTCAAAGGTTAAAGGCTGTTCCTCAAAAGTGTCTCTTCCAGTTTTAGCTGCTGAAAATGATTTTTATTCCAATTTTTCCACTTGTTAAATATTATAGAAAGGAAATAGATTAATCTGGTTTTGAAGCTTACCCAGCACTAATGCTGTATATAATCACTCTGTATGCTTTAGTGACTCGGGTTGCCATGTTATTGAGATTTGCTTGATGGTTTAGGCTGTATTTTTTGGATTTGATAAAGCCGCTGCATAAACTATACAAAAATAAGAAAAAATATCTTAAATTAAGTGATTTTACCCTTCATTTGACCAGGTAAATGAGATTTGCCAATGGAATGAGAATTTTAAAATGAGATAATTAGATAATATGCACTTGAAATAGGACAATGCTGTTGTGTTTTCTTATTTTAAATGTAAAATGTCTTGTTCCATTAGCAAAATGTCTCTTTTACCCCCTTAATCCAAGAACAAATGCACTTATTTTAAGAAAAACCTACTTTTCTATTTCGATTTTTTCTAGTGAATTCATCAAATGATCATTTTGTTACTGATACTTTTCAGAAGTCAGTTCATATTTTTATGTTTGGCCAATTAAAACTCACTGAATCGATGGTTTTCTTTACTACAATCAGCTGCAGGACGTAACTTGGGCTGTTTTAGGGATTTAAAACAATTAATAGATACATTTTATTATTGACAAGCAGCTCTATACTTACTGTACGTGAGCAAACAAAGCAAACAGAATTTTATAGAAACTGTGAAGACCGACTGATCACTCACTTAAAATGTATTAAATCTGTCACCTTGGGGGAAAAAATTAAGCTTTTGGAAGAATCTTTTTATTTTGTGGCAAAATTCATGGGACGTTTATCAAATGCAATAAATGTGCTGCACTAATGCACTTATGTGTGGGGGTACTAACCGGCAGGTTGGTGAAGACGCTAAACGTGCTCCGTAGAAACGCGATCAGGTCAACCAGGTAGTCGCTGGTGGTTAGATTCCCGCTTCCTTGAGCGGGCGACATCCAGTCATAATCAGCCAGCTGCAGGAACTGGTCAATCTTAGCGTTCAGGCTGGTGTAGATCTCTGCCTCAGCTGCATGCCGGGCATCCTGTATTGGGACAGAGAGTTTCCAGTGCATACATTTAAAGACCGTTTCAGGAAACACATTAATATATATGCTTTGCACACAGGGGGGAAAAAAAGTTGTTCGTTTGTGGTTTTGTTTGTGTTTTTTTCAGAGAAATTAGGCTAAAAAGGAAAGAAGAAAGGAAAGCTAGAAGTTTACTTACCTTGAATGTTGAGGTCCCGTAGAGCTTGGTGGCGTTCACCATGTCAGGGGGAACATTCGTTATGTTGGTTATGAACTCCTCCAGGAAATGGCAACTCTGCTCCAGGTGGGTGGTGTTAATGATCACCTGCACCAACTGTACAAACAGACAAACAGCAGTCAGGAAGTAGAGTAAGAAAAAGATTAACGCAGCGCCACAATAAGAGCTAAAGGAGGTTCAGTTTTAGGAGCAAATCTAAAGTAAAATCATTCTGCCGTGAAAATGTCCATCCTCAGCCATCATCTTGTCTTATCCAGCGCACATCACTTTTGGAAAGAAGGAAAAATATTTCCCTTTTTTTTTTTACCCAACAGATTGGGTAGAGCTTGTGTGTTTTTCATGGTTAAAGAGCCAAAGATGATGAGAGGTATACATGTCCACCTTAACCAGGTGGACGTTGTCCTTTACCTCCGCCAGGCCCACATTCTTCTTCTTGATGGCGTAATGAAGACTGTTACTCAGGGTTCTGGTCAGCAACAAGTTGGTTGACTTGCGGATCATGTCGTCTATCTCTGTGGAACTGCAGACAGAGAGACATCTGTGATCAAAGCATCTTACTGTTGTTCCCACTTCAGTGTTTCCAGACCAGGCATGGAGCTAAATGTTTTCTATTCCGCTGTTATGTAATAGTAGATCTGTGTGATATGGACCAAAAATAATATTGATATTTATGGGCATAACAGCGATACATGATACTTATCTATATTTTTTTTATTTCCTAAAGTGATTTAAGAAAAGTACATGAAAGACATGTGGAAAATTTACCATAACTACATAAAAAAAAACAGCTGCTGCAGATTAATTTGAAAATAACCTTCTTTTTTTTTTTAAGTGAACAGATATGATGTATGTGCTAGATGACTGTGCTACCTGTGTTTCACCATGGACACAACATGTTCAGGGTGATACAAACTAGTCTTAGTTCCTTTTATGAATGTTGCAGATGTATTTTAGCCAAAAAGGTTCCTTTTTGATCTCATCTGAGACCCTTACTTAATGCAGGGGTTGACGTTAAGGATTTTATAGATAATAATATTAATATAATGTGACTTTTCTAGAGAATCATTATACATAGTTATTTTATACAGGGTTTCCTCTGTCTTGCATAATTTCAGAATTCTCTGACTTTTAACTGACTATGGATTAGTTTTCCCAGAAAAAATAAATGCAGCAACAAGACAATAATAATAAGATAACAGGTCACCAATTTAACATGTTTAGCTCTATAACATTTAAATGCACCTCTCCAATGTCTAAGAGAAAAAAATTTATGAACATTTTTTTTTATGTATGACCTGCATCAGTTTACAGAAGACTGCCATATGATAGCCATATTTACACTGTGCGCATAGCATACAATTATGCCAATTTTCCTAATCCCTGACCGATAATTTTTAATCTAGGGTTATGGTGGGTAAAATGGGTGGAAGGTAAAATAGCCTTGTTGTTGTTTTTTAGCCTGCCAAGTTGAAAAAATTTGTCTGATTCGCGCCGGACAAAAATCACGCCATCTGGCGGAAAATCACGCGGCTTTTTGAAATCACACGGCTTTTTAAAATCACGCGAGAATGTGTACAAAACAACAACAATGGCGCCGGCAACGCTTGTGGGTCGGTTTCAGCGAATGTCGGTGATTTTAAAGTAATTTTTAATGTTTTTTTTTTTTTTGCGATCATTGCATTTGCCCGCAAAACTACTTGCACCGGGCGATCGGGCAATGGTTAACATCGAGCCCTGTAATGTATCTGCTGTATCTTCTACAAGTTGTGTTAAAAACTCTGACCCGGACTTCCAACAGTTTTCTTTCTTCTTTACACTCATCCATGGAGGACAAATTTCCATAACCTCTAAAGCCTTCTTCGACCAACTGAAGATTAGTCCAATTTTATTTCAGGGTGTCTTTGAAACGGGGCTTAAAATGCAAGCTTGTCAAACTTCTCAGATGTAAAAGTTGAATGCTGTTTATCAGTTTCCTTTCACCTCACAATTATGCACAGTTTTGTTTTGGCAAATGAGATAAAAACCCATTTATATAGGTTTGGGGTGGTTATGTGACAGGAATATGAAAACATGTAAGTACTTTTGCAGGGGACTGAAAATGCAGGAGCAAAGAGAAGAGCAACACATCTAACTATGCGTAGTGATGCCAGCAAAAACAGTTTGGGTAAATTTCTGAAGGAGTAAATGTCAGCCAAGCTCCTTAACAGCTTTACCATGTTTTAATCCATCCTGGTACCTTTCAATAAACTGATCTGTTCTAGGGTAAAAAGGGATGCACAGAACAAGCCCATCATTCTTTTCTGATAAAGTTTTCTAACATGATTTTAATAGTCAGTAAATTACCAACTCTCCACAACCAGCCAGGCAAAACCCTGAGACCAGCTCAAGTTACCCAATAAAGAAAGTTCATGGCAGAGACGCAGACCGGCTTAACAAAATGACTGACATGCTATCCGTTTTGTTTTGTTTGAAATGAGCCCGATGTTTGGTGAGGAAACTCAGACAAATTTCAGCACCGTGTTACTGGGGAGTCCGGTAACATTTTGCATGGCAGCAAGTTCCCCTGGCAAATGGTTTAATAACAGGTTCCTGGAAGAATCAAACTGTGCAACAAATGCACACAGAGCCGGAGACATCCATGCAAAGGTCTGAAGAGGTGAAAAATACAGATAATCAGCAGGAAAAAAAAGAAAAAGGATCATTCCAACAGAGAAATGATGAATAATCTCTGTTTAGTTCGAGGTTTTCTGACTCCAGAACCCTGCGGGTAACACACACACACACACACACTCATTCCAACCAAATCAGTAAATTGTCTGCGCTTGGAATTCAACCTAAACACACACAGACGCATGCAGCTTCGCCTGAGGGAGAATGAATACTGGAATCCTAAACTCTGTCCTTTTCCAAAAAAGCTCAAGAATCCAAAAAACGTTCCGGCAACTCAGGGGGGCATAAAGAAAAAAAAAGAAAAAGAAAAAAAACCTGGAACAGCAGAAGTGCAGAGTGGACAGAAATGATGTGTGCAGCGAGTGGCAAAAAGTCAATGCATCCTAGTGAACTCTGTGGGTGTACAAATATAGACCCACCGCAGGGTTCAGATTGAATTTCATTGTATTTATGCTGCCATCAGTCACAAACAGCCGGCGGTCGGCTCTGTCAAAGAGAGGCCAGACGACTTCGACTCAGACATGTTAACAACACACTGAGGGATGGATGGAGGCATACATGGAGATCATCATCCAAGAAATACAACTCAACTAATGCAGTTATCAGCGGCGCTAACTAACTGACAAAAATCGTAACCATCTTACACAAATCTAAATAATGAACTTGTGTCATTTGATAATTATGAATTCCAAGCATATCCCGTCCTTAGCGGTTACTCAGGGCTTTATTCTCAGCTCACTTTCATTCCAAATCTATAGTCTCTCTCCAGCCCCGATTATGAGGCGTGAAAAAATCCCATATGCGTTGTTTATTTACCACCACAGTCGTCTAAAGCAGGGCCGGACTGGTAATCTGGTAATCCCAGACTGGTAATCTGTGATAACAGGCATTTGTCCGGTGGGCCGGTCCTAATTACAGCATGCAAATGCCGGCCCTCCTTAAACCATACCGGCCCCAACACTTAGTCTCCAGCTGAAGCAACTACCTGTCACAGTAAATAACTGGAGGAGCTCAAGAAGTAATGCAATGTTAAATACCTAAATGATGCATGCAGTATACTGTATAAAGCCCTTCCTTGTCATGCACATCCTTGTGACGGTTGGCATATGGTGTAATTTTCTATTTGTTCAAAGTGTAAAATCCTCGCAACAAACTAAATTATAATAAAACTAAAATGCTTTCTTCAAACCGAACTACGATGTTCCTCTTATATTTGGCGAATTCATGTTAGAATATTTTGCAAAAATATGTTCCTGTGCATGATGGTGTTTTGCATCTTAAGGCTAACGTTTCCAGTCTTACATGCATTGTTGCCAGGTTGGGATGTTTCCCAAGCTGGCAGTTTAGGAAGGCCGTCTATAGGTAAAAAATGTTTTTCTTTAGATTTATGGCCTATGAGATCATTGGACTTTGGTTCAAATTGGGTGAGATTTCGTATATCCAGGCGGTTTATGAAAATTTTTTGGGCTGGAAAACGTGAGTCAGTGACATCTGGCAATCCTGCTGGACGTTACACAGCAGCAGTCACTGTGGCCTCCGTGTTAATAACCAAATCCAAAAGCCGCATTATAGAAGTCTTGGTGATGGTTGTCATGTGATGCTTGAAGATAGATCGGTTAATCCACAATGTGTATTCGTATTTATCCAGGGAGGGCGCATAAGTGGGCCGGGGTAGATGGAAAAATGCTAAAAATCATTCCCAGTCCGAGCCTGGTCTAAAGTCACATCTACTCATGGTTGAAAGAAACAAAGAAAAAAAGAAAGAAAGAAAGGTATAGTAAGTTTTGATATATCAATAAACTGACAGGTGTGCACAAGCCGACATAAATTTTATGATTGGCAAATGCTCATGTCCGCAGGTTGCAGATTACTGGTGACAACTAGAAAGTATGGAATTGTTAAAGATATGAAAGTTATTACCCACTAGATGCATGCAATGAACAACGCATGCATCCGTGTGTATGTAATCATTATTGGCGCTTAATTTCACTTTAAATAAATGGCTTTAGCCTTTTTAGTATAAATTATGTTTACTAAATAGGGTGTTTATGTGTCGACCGAAAGCGTTTAGTAGCCCATTCCCTCTGGCCAAAATACCCCTTTAAACCCAGGAACAATCGGCTTTCAGTGGCAGAGGGCCGGTTTGACGCACTATATTACTTAATATCATAGAGCACAACGTACGGATGTCAACACACCATGTCAGTTGCATCAGATTTTACAAGCCGAAACACTTTACATTTAATAAACATGCCACTGCCCCGGGTAAGAGATTTGGAGGGACAAAAGAGTAAAACAATAAAGTAGACTGACTACGCCCTGGTTTCTTAACATGTTGCTCTCCAGTGTTTACTTTCCTGATTTCTGCCGCACTGGTGATATCATCAATACTAACCCAGCATGATGGTGTCACCAGACACACAGCAGGTGGCGGATAGATGCCACGCAGCTTGCCAGCGAGGGGCCAGACTCAGTTTTTTGAGGGTTTTTTAGCAATGGGAAGGGAGAAAGATGCCGATTGTTAACGGGTTGACCCATGTTGGAAAAACATGCGTTGATTTGGTGAACCTGTCTTTCAAAATAAGAACAGTGTTGGAGCCGAACACCATTAGAGGTCCTGATCTATCTATACCTGTATAGCTGCAAATCAGCTGGGGTTCCCAACATCATCAGTATTTCAGAGGTAACAGCCAGGCCAGTTGGGCCTGGGTGAGTTGACCTTTAGTTGAGATATACCAGAAGTGGGGGATGGAGGAAACAATATGTCAGATATCCAGTCTTTACTCCAGGGATCATTGGTCTGAAAGTCACAGTGCACTTCTTGTTACAATACAACATACACAGGTAGAC